ATGATTTTTCCTTTTTAATTTATATTATGGACTTACCTATAGAATCAATAAATATTATTTATAAATTAAAAAAATAAAAAGTATTTAAGCATCTATGATACTGGAATAACAACATAATGAGCACAGTAAAAAAAAATTAATTATAATTTGTTCGTAATAATAATTTTAGTATTAACAACAAAAATTCAAAAATTTATTTACACAATTCAGAATGAAATAAAATAAAAGTTGTAAAATATATATTCCATGCACGTACTATAAAAATAATTATTTAAATAAAAGTAGTATTATAATATACATTATATATTCTTGAAAATTATGCTCAATTATATTATATATATTTCTTGCACGACTTAACATAACATATTTTACCCTATATAGATAGTTCCCCTGCTTCCCGGTGACATAATTTTGTGTCGTCGAAAAGTTGGTAGAAACATAATAATATAATTGAGAAGAATTTTCAAGAATATATAATGTATATTATAAAAATAAATTTATTTAAATAATTATTTTTTTATATTACGTGCATGAAATATATATTTTACAACCTTTATTTTCTTTCATTCTGAATTGTATAGATCTATTTTGAAGTTTTGTTGTTAATACTAAAATTATTATTACTAATAAATTATTCTAATTAATTTTTATACAATGCTCATTATTTTGTTATTCCAGCATTATATATGCTTAAATACTTTTTATTTTTTTAATTTATAAATAATACTTATTTACTCTATAGGTAAGTCCATAATATAAATTAAAAAGGGAAAAATCATAATATTAAAAAGTTTATAAAAAAATAAAAAGAAGATAAATGTTTATAATTTAGAGGGTAAAACAGGTATTTGGCAATCCAAAATTTGAAAAATCTGGTTTAGTGACCTTCTGAATGCAATAGGCATAGTTCAGTGACTTTGTTGTTACAAACGAAAGTAAAGTGACTTTAGGAGATAATTTTGGATAGTTGAGTGACCATTTGAGTAATAGACTCTACTAAAAACTACACTTGTTATGTGATAGACTCGCGCCGACGTGTTGAAATGAAAGCTCTTTTTTGTTTCTCAATCATGAGTTTTATTTTCGGGTCCGATTAATTTGGTTATAGGAAATTTCACTTTGAAGGTAAAATATTTTTCATCAAAAACGATTTCATATCTAAAGTTTAAACTCAAAATTTCTAGTTAAAATGGTGGAATATTTATTATTCTATCACAACTTTCGAAGAAATAAATGCTCATCATTTTAGGGGTTAAGAATTTGATATATATACTACTCCCTCCGTTCACTTTTACTTGACACGTTTTGACCTTTTACGCCCCTTAAGAAATAATAAATGAAGTGCATAATTTATCATGATAACCATATTAATTGATGCATATTTTATTAAATTTGAGAAAATGATTTGAAATTAGTAATAAATACTATGGGTATAACAGGAAATCAAAAAGTTGTCTTTTCTTGATATGTGTAAGTGACAAATAAAAATGAAAATCTATTTTTAGTATACCTGCCAAGTAAAAGTGAACGGAGGGAGTAATTCTGTTTTTGTTATCATTGGAAATTGGAATGACCATCTAACAAGGGATAATTGTTGATTTCTCCGTTAATTGAAATTAAAATAAATTTAAATAGCAACAAGAAATAATTGGATAAACACGCTTGAACGTTATCTTTGTATACGGGTGAAACCGGGCCTATGGAACACCCCGGTTTCCGATAAGGTAAATCGAGCAAGAGACGTAATGACAGGGAACTGGAATCGAGGCAAGGGTCTCATCGAGCCAGGGCCTGGAGGCATGACGCCCACCCTCGAGAATATCGGGGTTGTGATTCGGCAACGGTCCAAATCCCAAAAGACTTCGGAGAACGTTGTCGGGCAACTGAGCATGATTAACAGAAGGTCGTGATATCTGTGACCTGCCGTATATCTCGGCGCGGATCTCGGCATGTACTGGTGGAAATCCCATGATTAGTTAAACTAAAGATTTTTACCTTTTATGAAATTGTACCTAGGGTAGGACTCCTCTACTATATAAAAGGGGTCTGATTATTCATTAACAAGATTGTAACACGCATATCAAGGCAATATACTATTATTTTTCTCTTTTATTCAAAGTTCTTGCATTTGTTGATCAGTTTTTCTTTATTATACGTCTGGGACCGAGGACGGATATTTCATTAAGGTTGTCGTCGAGTCCAGAATCACTCTCCCTTTTGAGTGGTTTGATAATTTATTACATCTTTTACTTGTTTAATTTAGCGATATTTACCGTTTGTATTGAATTAATCCACGTATCCTTAAAACCACATATAAATTTAGTAGTTATCTATTTTTTAGGGTATACAGTTTGGCACCCACCGTGAGGCTAAGGATAATAGTGGAAATTTGATACAAATTTCCATAACGCACCCTATTTTACACTTGTTCTTTCAAGTTTAAAATGTTGAACTCCCAATCTGCCCCTTTGAACGTGGATGCTGAGTCTGGCCACCATGGCGAGAAAAACAATGTGGTATCCGGTAACGAGGGAGTTCCACTACTAGAAAATGGGCCCATGGCAACAGTTTTTTTTGCGACGGTTAAAAAAACGTTGCCATAGAATGGATATTGGAACGGTTGCAACTGTTACAGTAGCATTGGAACGATATCAGCACGCTTTAGCTATTAAACCGTTCTTATTACAAAATAACCGTTGCCATAGGTTTTTTTTGCCTACCAGTTTTGTGAACCGTACCAATAAATTTGTTTACGGGAACGGATTTTAATAAAAGTTTCTACTGGAACGGGTTTTTTTCCCTCCTCATTTTTTCCCATGAATTTTTCTAAACCCGCCAAGACTATCCCTATCTATCTTATTTCTGATAAATTTTGTTAATTAATGTAAATTAAATAACAAAAACATTCCACTATCGACATCTCCAAGCCTATCTTCCAATAAACCCTTTCATCTCCCCATAGAACTCAAAGGCATCGACACCTCCAAAGCTCTCAATACCTTTCACCTTGAGAATTCCATCTATGGCTAACTCTAAATCCCCATATCCCCAAATCAAATCATTGGCCTAACCCAATATCCCCAAATCTAAGTGTCGATCATTTTTTGTTATTCGAAGAAGAGAAGGCATCAAAGAGAACAAAGGAAAAATCTAAAAGACACGATTAAAGGTGAGAAAACTACTTCAATCGCGAGAAAGTTTCGACCCAAAAGGCACTATGTGAGAAACTAACTTCAGGTGCAAGTTTTTCTTTTCTAATTTGGTTAATTTCTTCTTTAATACTTAGGATGTGAGCAATGTATTTGATTTCTTGCTTTGACTGTAATATTATTCAAGAAAAGAGGAAAAGGAAGCCCCCCCGGCCGGGGGGGGTAGAACTTTGTTGTATTACTTATTTTCTGGGGTTATTTTTGAAGGAGCAAAAATAGATTTTATGGTCTTATTAGTTTTGTGTATCAGTTTTATTTTTTACTAAATTAGGTGTTTATTTTAGTTTTTGTTTTGTAGGAAAATATTGGGGAGGAGGAGGTAGGGTTTGGTGGTCGTTGAAGAAATTATGAGAGATTTGGGATCCTTTTGTTCGGTTGTTGAGCTCGATCCTTCTCCAACATCCTCTTCTGGCTCAGCTGTGCTACATTTTGAGGTATAATATCAAATTTGTGATCCAACCCATGCTACAATTATTGATTATGTTTTCTTTATTCTGTATAAATTAATATCTGAAAGCATAGTCATTGCTGTTGATGACTAGTCCATACCCATTCCTTTGAGTTCAGTTAGCCGGTGTTATCAAATTGCCTTTTAAATTGCATAGTTGCAGAGTAGAGTTTACCATGGGAGTCACTTGATCAACATGAACATTTGCCATGGATTGTGGGTGAATGTGTTGTCTAATAAGCCACGTGACATGATATATCTATAACCCTAATCATATCTTTTGTTTCCTACTGAACTTGCGCATGTTTACATTATCCAATCAAGGCATGAGCTAGCAGTATCTCTAGGTTTGCTTATTATCTTTTCTCTTCAATGGTTGGCAGATGTACCTACACTAAAAGCTTTTAGCTAGGTCACCCTGTTAAAAGTGCAAGTAACAATGTTGAGAAATGAACTCAATCTAGATTAGAAATAGCAACATAATATTTTTAGGTAATTTCCTTTCCTTGAATTACTCATTCTGTTTGTTTTATCCACTTAGTGTTTTGTTTACCTAATACAAAGCTAGAAGAAGTCAATGACCCATTCCTGAGATTGGTTACACCTACCTTGATCAATTAAGCAAGTAACGTGCCCGGTCTATAGGTCAGTGGTTGCGTCCATTTGGTTACCTTCCTGTATACTTGAACCACAAAAGTACTCCAATCACAGTGTTGCGTGTTTTCAAAGGCATCTCTTGTTGGAAGGGATTGGAACAATGAGAATAAGCATACGCTCTTGGAGAAATCTACTGAAGTGTAGTCTTTCTGCAGCGTTCACGTGATGATATTTTAAGAAGAGTAGTACAACAAGCAAATGGTATCTGTGGGTTTGGAAAAATGGTGGTTGGTGATAGTTAAATGCATCATCTATTTGCACTTTTAGTTATTTAGGTGAACTCATTGACTCTAAGCTGGTTTGGTTGGGTAAAGATGTATTCTCTTGTATTTTATTGTGTTAGTAGTACCCAAAAAGTAAGTTAATACCTTCTTTTGTGGTTAAAGTTCATAGTTGACGACTTCTGTTTTAATTGCATTTAGATTTGTGATATTCAACTGAAGAGGTCTAGCTTTAATGTTCTTTGGATAATAGGTCCGGCTGGGAATAATTTAGCAAATATTTTCAATCAATTTCTAATATTACCAAGATATCGGTAACTTAATTTTGGTTATAATTGGATTTACTCAGCGGGTTGTGCATGTTACATAGGCTCGCGCAGTCACTGGATTAAATGAACTTTAGTAGACTTCAGTATGCTAGGAGATATTTGAAATGAGCATGCTTGCAAGGCTAAAGCTTTTCCTTTGTAACTTCTTATTTTGCTTGTTTATAGTATCAGTGTTTCATTTGTTATCTTTTTTGTATTCTTCTTTTTTGGTTGTATTGTACAATTTATTAGCTGGTTATCACCAGATAATTAGTTGACTGAAAACTGCTTTAGTTTTTCACTGTATCAAATGAATTCTTCACTATGATTTTCACTTTTGCAGTTTCTTGACCTTAATACACCAAAATTGCTGTTGTTTCCAGATCTTTCCAATCTTTAAATGAAGGAAGCACTGATGACATGTCTTAATTAGTGAGGTTGTGAGAATATTTGGGGGCGGAGATGAAGCTAGCTGCTCTGTTGACTTCTGCTGGTGTCAATACTGCAGTGTGCGTAGTGCTGTTCTCCTTGTATTCGGTTTTAAGGAAACAACCGAGGTTTGTAAATGTTTACTTTGGCGCGAAGATTGCTCAAGTACGAGCAAGACAACAGGATGCCTTTCGCTTTGATAGATTTGTTCCTTATCCAAGTTGGATCCTTAAGGCACGGGAGACTTCTGATGAAAAAATATGTGTTACTGGGGGATTGGATGCAGTAGTATTTGTGCGGATGATTGTTTTCAGGTGAAATTGGAATTTTCAGCACTTTATTAGTTGTTAGATTTTCTAGTGTTCAAGAAAAGTCAATTTAACTTCTGATACTAATTTTAATGAATTAGTCTAAATTAGCTTCTACCCAGTGAATCTATTTGATCGATTTGCTAGAGTTGTCAAGATTAGTTTCCTCAATTTGCTGCTGCCCAGATTTAAAAGCTGTTGTTGCTCAATCATTAACAGCTGAAACAGTGCGCTTTGTTTGTGTTGTTCCTGCTCGTGGAAAGCATTAGTTGCCCTAATTCACCTCCATAATCCCCACATGACTCCATTGATTGTGATGGAACTTCATACACGGATGTTCCAACACCCTCGTGAACTCTTTCGGTGGCCCATTATGGAATATGGAGTTGAAGACCGATTTGATTTTAAAATTAGTAGGATTAATGTTAGATATTTTTCTCTGCTTCTCTCTGTGGAACAGAAAAGTAAGTAAATATCTTAGGGAAAGGAGCTAAAGGGCTGTGAGCTTTTTGCACTCCACTAAACACTAGACATTAATAGGAGTAAGGGCGTTGTATTTTAGGATCATGGTGTATTGCAGTTTACTGATTTTGATAAAATTTTCTCTAGCCGGCCTTCGTTTATTGTCGTTCTGTCATCCTTATCTTGTGGGTAGAACTGTTGTTGGTGTGAATGGATCTCATTTCATTTTTTGTATTTTAGGTAATCACAATTGGAAAAGAAAGATACACAGTTGGTGAGGCATTGTTTCAACCATCTATATTGGGTAATGATACTCATGGAATAGTCGAGCAGCTTATTCATAGTATTTCGTCTGTGTCGTCTGAAAATCACCGCCAGCTGCTAGAGAACACAGTACTTTGTGGTGGCACTGCTACTATAACCGGTCAGTCTTCATCTCCTTGTTTATATGAATGTGACTAACGAATGTTCATATTTCTCCGTATTTCTGCGCTTCTGTTTTGTTAGTAGAACTTTTTAGTTTTCCTTGTTTTGTTGGTTTATCTCAAGTAGTTCAATTTGATTGGATGTATTTGAAATGCTGGTTGTATGACATTCAGTCCTTTCCTTGCTCGAATTAATGCGACCGGGAAGTGTAATATTCCCTTTTATTTTCCGTTATTGGTATTTTTTTGGGGGGCAAGCTTTCAATATTTATGTACTGGATACATTTGAGATTGAGTGCACTTAGAAGAGGTCAGATGGGCTGATGTTTAGCTAGTGGACTATAAGTAGCAGTCAGCAGCAATAATTGTTCTTTACAAAATATGGCTTCTCCTTAGGAGAATTACCTTGATCATTTCCTTCATAGAATTGGCTTGTGCTTCATATGCTTGATGGCTACAGCAACTGTTTGACAAGCAAAGAGTAAAACATAAGGTAATCTCAACGTCTCCTTTCTGCCTCTCCTAAATAGGATATTCCTGTAATATTCTCAATGGATGCCTGTGGTTGATCGAACTTGGGTTCTTTTGATGTCTGAGAGTGATATCGGAAACCACCTCATCCGCCGTGAACATCTCCTTTGCAGTTGATTGTTCTCCGTAAATTATTTTAATCCCTCCTGTGTTGGGAATTTCAACACCTGGTGTAGTGACGAGGGCACCGCCCTCATGTTTGTGAATCCAGTGCCTTCCGGACAAAGCATTGTATATCGTATTCCTTTGATCACGTAGAACTTTGTTTCCTAAATGGTTCTGGCAGTGTTCACCGGTAGGGTTATCTTCCCTTTAGTGGTCTCACATGCCATGTTGAACTCATTTAGAACTTGGACTACAGGCATAATATGGTCTTATATAGACCCAGCTGCTCTACGACCCTCGATCTGATAATATTGGCTTGAGCTACAGATCAATTAACACACGCTTAACACGAGATTTATTTATGAGTACAGAATATTACCAGTGCATCATTGTGTGTTGCACGATGCCTTCACTCCCGTCGTTGAAAGATACAGTTCCTTCTGGCATGTAATCTCGAGTTTGTTTTTCCCTTGTGATGGACACTTCGGTGCGCTTTAACATCGGCCCCTAGGGGACGTCGACCCACCGATGATCATGTTAATGACGTGCTGGGGTTCCTCCTGCTCGGTCAGCTTATTGGAGTCCCTATTTCGAAATGATTATTGGCTCAATCCCTCAGGAACTCTCGGAGGTGTCCGTTTGTTGAATAACCGGGCTACTTTCCCTCTCAGTTATCGGTAGTTCTTAAGTTCTATGGCCGTGAGTGTCATGATATTTACACATTAGGGTTGAGGTCCCCCTTTGGGCAGGATCCGATTGTAAAGGTCGAGGCCACTTGTGTCTTTGATGCGTCGGGATGCCAGATGACGATGGCAACATCATCGACATTGAAGTTGTACTCTGATAACCTCGGTGCTTTCCTAAGGCCCGACGCCTGTCAAAACCGTTTTTGCTCATGAAGTCCCCGGTTATTTTTACCTCGATCTCTTCTCCTTTCACCTCTCACAGTGTTTCACCCATTACCTCTTTGGTCTCCATTGTATGGTTGATACGACGTCTCTATTTGATCTTGGTTCACGATCAATGTCTCTTTTGGATCTATTACTAGCTTTGACAGGATAAACGAATCCGGAAGGGGCCCCAAGCTGATCATCTTGGAACCTAATTTTTGATTGCACCGGTTATGCACGTCGGCCCAACCACCGGATATTCTTATCAGATATGCGCTTCAACTGCTGTGAAGCCAATGAACTTCGAGTATTGAATCCTTGGTGAAGGCCTGAACGGCCCAATCGTCCGCGGACTTGGGCAGGTCCACTCGTTCCATTTGAAACCGGGATACGAATTCCCTAAGCATCTCATTATCTCTTTGCTTTACTTTGAAAAGGTCTGACTTCCTGGTTTCGACCTTGATAGCCCCAGCATGCGCTTTCACAAAGGCCTCTGCAAGCATAGCAAACGAGTCAATAGATTTGGGGTAAGTTGTTATACCATATCATAGCTCCTTTTGAAAAGGTCTCTTCGAACTTTTTCAGTAGGTTGGACTTGATCTCATCATCTTCCAAGTCGTTTCCCCTTGATGGCGCACATATTATAAAGGTCACATGTTTCATTTGGATAAGTTGTTCCGTTGTACTTAGGAATTTCGGCATGCGGACTTCTTTGGGATCGGCTTCGGAGTTGCGCTCGGAGGAAAGGTTTCTGAACAAACTTCTTGGAATCCAGGCCCTTCTAATATCTGGTCGTGGTGCTCCTGGGATTTGGTCGACCCTAGAATTGTATGTTTCTCTTTTTTGTCATTGGTTTCGATTTTCTTTTCTCCAATTCCACCCGCTTTGTCGGTTCCTCAAGCATCTTTATGATATCGAGGTTTTCCCGGGTTCGGCTTCACTCGCCTTTCTACAATTGGTTCATTTCTGCGAGCATTTCTCGGATTGGTTTCGGAGGTCTCGACTCTGCTGAGGTGCAACTCTGGTTTGCAACTGCGCTATCGCTGCTTATTGAGCATGCAACATTTCGAAGATCACTCGCAAGTTGATCCTATCACCTTCACCGTCCTGTGTATTTTGGGCTACCGATCGGACTCCCCCACAAATGCTGTTCTCAGGATCGCTTGGCAAGTTCGCATTGATTGCCACATGTGATTAGCATCGATCAGGTCTGCGGCCGAAACACTACTAGAAATTGCAGCTATGGCAACCCTTCTAAAAACTGTTGCAATAGATAGGCTAACCGTCCCTATAGGTATATTGGGACGGATTTGGACGCGTTCCGGATTCGGCGTTACAATAGGTCTATTAGAACGGTTACTTGCAACGGTTTGAAAACCCATCCTCATAGATAGGGATTATTGTAACGGTTTGGACTGCACCATTGTCCTATCTATAGGAACGGTTTTCTTTTCTGTTGGGACGGTTATAAACCGTTCTGATTATAATAATACAGTTGATTTTTTTAAGCCTATTGCAACGGTTTTTGGGATATATTGAACAATTATCAGTACCCTATTGCAACGGAATGTGTACATATTGAACGGTTATTAGGGTTGCTCTTATTATTTGCTAGGTCTATTAGAACGGTTATAGTCTCTATTGCAACAAATTATAATATTTATGGAAGCAAAATAAGAAATATTTCCTATTCCATGAAAATTGGTTTACACCATATACAACTAGCATTATCCATGTACAAAAAACAAAATATGGATACATTGTTTGGTCGACAATTCAAAAGTCAAAATAGATAGTTCGCATACAAAAAGTTCTAAACTAAAATATATCTTAAAAATAATAATAGAAAGTCTAACAACGATCAACAACACTCAAGTAAGGTCACTGCTTTCATCCGCAATTGCTGCACCTACAAAAGACAATAAAAATAATCAAACAAAACTTTTAGGATAATTGAGTCATAAAGTACTTAAAGCAGCTTCAAGCATAAATTCAGTAATAAGCAATGCAAGAAATTTTTTTTAAATTTGATAACTCGAAAATTTTCAAACTCTCTAAATTCTTAAATTTTTCGGCAGAGTTTCCTTTGTTATATAGACTATCGCAAAATTTTCAACCTGCTCAAAACATCATTTGTAAATACGACTATGCCATACAAATCCAATTTTTTTATTTCTACATGCAATATATTGGAAAAAAAATAGCGAGCTCCCTGTACAGAAGAGGCACCAGAGCCATGAACAATCTCATTGTGGTTCATGTAGTTTGAAAATATAACTGTCCATGAACTCTCAAACTATTCAGCAAACTCTCTAGGGTCAAAAATCACCTCAAAATCCGACCTTCTTGTCATATTTATGTCAAAGTCAATTTATTTTTATAGTAAAAGAAATTGCTGAAGAGAACAACTCGCTCTTGAAACCCTTTCATAGCTACAAAGAAATTAAAGCAACATCTACTTTTGACATGAACCAATTCTTGATTTCCAGTAAGAAAGCGAATGAAAGTGCTGAGCACACATTGGGTCGCAAAATACGAAGAAATTTCTGTAAAGTACATGACACTGAGTCAACTCGATGGTGTTATCCAGTGCACATGGTAGAAGAAATTTCAAGCATATAATTACTAGTAGATGTGAAAAATTTTAACACTTGGAGCTGGATTAGACCAGGAACATTTCCAAGTTATTACTCGATATCTCAACCACTCACTCAGCCAACCCTTTGGGAACTTATCAATGCTAACTCTATCAACAAGTCAATCAGCTCTTCCTGCTTTCATTTGGGACAATGTGCAGGGTAAAGCCTAAACCAGTTTGGTAAGAGGAGATAGTAAGATTAAAAAGGGATTTGTGTCCTGGAGCTTGGAAAAAATGTTACCAATAAAAGGGAGAAATGGTCCCTCTGATCAATAGCATACTCATCAGTATTTCAATACATTTTGTGTGTCATCACCATGCAG